TTTTTGCCTCTGCCTAGTGGCTTTCCTGGAAGCCTGCCTGTGTTGCAGAGAGCCTGGACACCTGCAAAAGACCTTGCAGCAGGCAGTAGGAGTCTTGCTGCCAACGTGACCAGGCTGTGGGTTGGGTGTTGAGCTGGAAGAGGAGGCAGAGGAGGCAGCTTGCGTTCTCTCACTCAAAACCTTTGACCTGTCATCTCCCAGCCCAGCTTTCTGTTGCAAGCAAGCATGCTTAAGTACCACAGTTCAGAAAAAATTTCTGCTTTATTTCCTTGCATTTCAACATCACAGTGAGAACTGAGGGATGTTCTTCACAGGGAAACAGCCTGTTCTGTAGGTGGTGTCTTTTTTCTTACGAGTTTGGAAGTTGCTGTTCTTGCCTCTCATCCAGCTGGTGGGTTAAACTGTAGAGCTGCATTGCAGGGCTTCAGGAATGGCCCAGGCCCTCTCTCTTCATACCAGGACTGAAAAGGCTATGACAGCTTTTTCTCCTTCAAAGCCACACTTCTTCACAACCCTGATTTTTGATATTTGATTTTGTTAGGCTTATAACTTACCTTGTTGTCTGTCAAGATTACTTGTTAGGGAGCTGTTTCTGTAGCATACAGTCATCATGGACTCACTTCTCCCATGTATCAGTTTGCATAAATTGTAATCTAATATTGCCCTCAGCCTGTGGTAAAGACTAATGGAATGTGAAGGTGTCACCAAAAGAGCACAACTCACTCTTTGTCATTTAATCTAGTGATTTATACCTGTGGATGGTCAGTAGACCAGTAGTCGACTTATTTTCCGAAGCTATTTCATTTCCAGTGATGTGAATGGTAGAGCAGCTAGTGGCATTAATCATTAAATTATGAATTACTCGACATTCCTTCACTGTAGAATACTAACTAAGAAACTGCACTTTCACCCCTGCAAGTCAGATCCAGAAATTAAGCAGTTTCATCAAGGCAGAAACTGAAGGTCACTGAAGCCATATGGTCCCCAAAACCCAAGAAGAGTCAAATGAAGCATTTGGTGTAAGTGGAGAGGAACTTGCTGTGAGTGAGCAGAGGCAGGGAAATACCAGCAAAGAAACTTCTGTAACCTCCATCAGTCTGTTCAGTTACTCTTAAATTATTTCCATTGAAATATCCTGGTAATTTAGAAAGTGATCAAAGATGCCATAGATTCTAAGAGAAAGAAATGAAGACCTGGTAATCAAGGTAATGCTGTTCTTGTATAGAGCTTTTCATCATAAAATATCAAAGGAGGTCACTACAGGCAGGACCTGAAACACAGAGCAGGAAAGCAAACTCAGTCTGGGTCAGTCAGTAATCAAAACAGGAACAAGGGTAGAGTCCAGGTTTCCCATGTCTCCTGGTGCTTCGACCCAGTAGCAGCGTCCATCCCTCCTAGTCCTCCTGCAGCTGAAAGCCAGAAGGGACCACTTATGCTGGCAGATCTGGGAGCTGGTCTGGGAAGACTGCGACCGTGGGTCAGGCTTTGCTGGGCAAGTGGTTTACCACTCCCTGCAAGTCATTTGGGACCTCAGCCCTCAGCAGGGCTGCAGATTGCTTTGGATTAGCATGCAGCCCCTACCTGGGCACCATGGAGGTAGAGTCAGTGGGCGCTGGTGGGCAACCCTGACAGGGAATTGCATGGTACCTGTGCAAAACCAGCCATGCATCTGCAGCTTGCTGTCTGTCCCGAATTTGAAAAGCCAGCTACCAAAAGCTCATACTGCCGGAGGTGCTCAAAGGAACCATCCAACATAACTTGGGGTAGTATGGTTGATGGTGGGTTTAGAGGCAGCAATTTCTGTAACAGGTGAGAATCCAGCCACTTCTCCTTTAGGGAGGAGGTCTGGCTAGAGGGTGCCTTCAGTTTCCCCATTGTTGTCTTATGAGTTCATCAGTTTGGGAATGCGGGTTCACCCATGACACTCATACTGCGTAAAGACAGATGAGTTTCCACAGAAGCACTGAAGTCCCTTCATTAGCAGTTATCTTCCCTTTCCAGTGCTCCTTACTGCAGCCTTACAGTTCATTTGCCAGGTACACTTATTTTGTCTGAGCAATTTTTTATCCATTCAGTAAACAGATACTTCCCCGCTTTGTCTGTGGAGTCTCCCAGTTGTCATCACTGTCCTAATGAGAGTGCTGACTGACTACTTCTTGTGCATACTGATGTTGATTTCAGTCTAACCCCTTTTTGCTTTTAAATACTACAACAGAGGCTATATGGCCAGTTGGCCATCTGTCATGTTTCACAAGTTCAGGTTAGACAAATCAAGCTTACTGGGGTGTGATACATATATGTGTTTTGTACCAGTATCTTGGAATGTAATTTCTTTTACCATAACAACCACAGTGTAGATGCAGTCATAGCAGTCTGAAAGTGCTGCAATCTACACTGATGCTTTCAGCACTTTTTTTAGATTTGTGTCCTTCCGCCGAGGTAACAGGTTTCCAAAATTTCCTGTGTTTCAATCGCAAGAGTATATACAAACTTAGTCCTCATGGGAATCCTGTAGTGGAGCCCTCCAAAGCAATCCACAGAGGATGGGATAAAAAATGGTGTTGCGGAGAAATATTGAAGAAGATATGACTCTGTAGGTCAATTCTAGGATCCTTGTTGTCTCTAGGAAAGTCACTCCTAGAAGCTTGTTGTTTCTTGGCACAAGGGAAATTGTGAACGTTTTTTCTGACACAAACCTTTGTGGGAGCAATGCTATTAATATGGAGAAAACATGAGATGAATAATTAAACTTTGGAATAATTGCTTCACAAGACAGGCAGTCTGAGTTGTGTGCTCATTCCTTGTAAAACTATCCTGCTGACAGTCTGTTCTCAGCTGATCCTAAAGGGGATTGCATTTTTAAAAACCATGGGCTAACATCATTGTGCCAGGTCCCACAGTCTGGACAACTCAGAATGACCTTTTCCCTGAGGGGAAGGGCTAAGTTCTGTTTTGCCTGACTTAAAAAACCAAACTTCTAAATCCTGCTCAAATATACCAGCCTCTGAACAGTGATATTTACTTTTCCCTAGTTACTCATAATAAAATATTTATTTTGTTTTGAGGGGGATAAGTAACTTCATTGATGATCTGCAGATGGTCTAGCACCCTAATTTATACTCTGGTGGCAGGACATTTCTCACCTTCCCAAACACAAGGAAGGTCCTCAGGAAGAACAATTTTTGACCAATCTGCGTAATTCTGTTATTTTAACTTCACTTCCACAAATACTCTTTTTAGTACAAAAGTGACCGCATAATTCTAATTTATCTCTAAAAATTAGGGCAGCAGTTTTAGTTGCTTCTAAAAAAAATTTCTTCAAAACAAAAATCACCATGAAATATTCCAGTTGTTCAGTGAGCAGTGGAACTGCAGTGTTACTTCTGGATTTCTGTCTTGTGGCTGGGGTCTCTAATGGAACATAAGATTCTCTTGTGCTGGAAGTGTTCTCCAAGCTGCTGTATGTGTGTGATAAAGGATATGCAGTCTTTCCTTCCCTGTGAGCAGTAATAAAACTGTTATTTCTAATCATCTGCTTATTTTCACAGAATTTCTGGATACTTAATCTGTTTGAGTTCTTTATTGTTTTGCAAGTGTTGCTGGAAAGTCGTAAATGGGACCAAAATTTATTGGAGCATTAGAACCAACAAAGGGAGTGACTATCTAATCTTTATTTCCTTTGGAAATGAGGCAAAAAGCACTTGAATCAAAGTTCTGCCTTTAAATGATGTGTAGACATCTCATTGGAGACCTCTGCAGACCTAATTTGGTGCAAAGCCATGGACTGTTTTATAAAGACTCCCTCTGGGCTTTGAAGTTTGCTCTTTCCTGTATATTTTCTGCAGTCCTTGAGGACAACAGTTTTGAGGTCTCATGAGGTTGTCTTACGGATGGGTGTTTCCTCAGGCCAGCAGTTGTTTTTAATGTAGTAAGTCTTTCCAGATCGCATAAACGTTACATGCTTTCATGCAGCTGGGGAATTTTTTTAACAGAATGCGTTGACTTGCAGAAATCAAGTATATTTGGAGATATCATTACCCTGTAAGGTATACTGCAGCGTTTATGTCTCTGGCAATGCTATTGACTTTAAAACTTTCAGATGAAAATTTCCAAAGCGTTTCTGGGTTTTGGAAACACTTTGCCCATTAATTTTAAGATTGATTTAGAATCAAGAGTACTATTCACATCTTTAAAGCTAAACATGTGCCTACATCTGTGCAGAAATGGAGCCTTGTTGTTCGTGTCATTGTCGAAATATTCTGCCTTCCCAACTTAGAGTTTCAGAATGCAAAAATGGCTTTAAGTCAAATCCTTAAGTATTTTCCGAGGACAAACCTATGCTGAAGTTAACGGCACATTTCTTTGAGTAAGAGCTACTGGCAGCAGAATCTTTTACAAAATGAACAAAAACATGCTCGCTTGCTCTCCCCACTAAAATACTCATCCCATGTGTTTAAACTGATTGAAGTGAGACAAATGGTTGATAAAGCAAATAGGAACAGAATCTGGAATTCATCCACAGTTAGAGTGGCCAGATGGCATAGCAGAGGTGGCCACATGGGACGGATGGTGATGGGTTTATCTGTTGTTAAAGCAAACTCTGTCTGCTTTTAAATTCCTCAGTGAACTTGAACACAATGCTATAACCTTGCTTTCAGGAATAACCTCATTTCCCTCATTATGTTTATCAAATGAGTGAAATTACACGTTCAGGTAAGTATTTGCAGGTTTTCAGCTTGAAGTCTTTTTCTTCCCCGATCACCTTTTCTATTGGTCCTGATCCAAAGGCCGTTATACTTGAGAGGAGACGTGACATCTGCTTTAGAAAGTTCTGCGTGAGGGGGTATGTGATGACGGGACATGTAGTCTACATTTCTCACTGCATGGAAATGATCTGAGACTTGAATCCTCTTCTGAGAAGACTGTAGTGGTATAAGCACTTGAAATAATATCTACGTGGCCATGGAAGTCCCCTATTTGTTTTTCCTTTTTTTTCTCAGGTGAATGAAATTTACCATGATGAATCCCTGGGTGTTCACATAAATGTTGTGCTGGTCCGAATGATCATGCTGGGGTATGCAAAGGTAAACAAGCCTCTGAACCAGTTCTCCGCCTTCGTCTTGTTTGTAATTATAGTCCTTGTGAATCACATGAAGGGCTGTGGAAACAGAAGTCTACTGAACAGCTAGTTCCAGAGAACTGCTTTTCCTGCTTGGCATGAGCTAAATGTGCTCATGCCCTCGTTCCGAGGCTGACCGTGAGTGTCCCTTTTGTGACACAGGTGTAAGACTGGCTCAGCCTGTTCAGGCTTGCAGCCTGAATTCTTGCCCATGTGAGTCCTCAGGGAATTACATCAGTTTCATAGAAGCAGCCATCCTGGCTGGCCAACACAGCTTGCTGGTGCACGCACTCCAAGCAGTCTGCTAGTGTAACTGTTTCCTTTGCTCATTTCATGTATGTCCCTTTTACTGGCTCACAGCACACTCCTCCACTTTGTACCCTGGACAGTACTTGTAACAGTACATTGATTTTGCAGGTAAAATACACTCAGAGAGTTTTGAAACAAATGCTTGTTAAATTGTTCAGGATGAGAGGAAAGCTGTTTAGGGTTTGATAAAGACCAGATATATGTTCCATTTAACTCAGACATTGATTTTGTGCAAGTCAAAACACCAGTTTGATGTTTGTCTTGTAATTAAGTTTACTGAGCTTGTAGGCACACACTGTAGCAAAAGTCTCAAAGAACCAGGTGTTTAATCTGTGTTCATCAGTACACATTTACTGGAACTACAGTGTTTTGGACTATTTGAGGCATTGTCCTATGTGTTTATAATACTCACTCCCTCCATACGGGCTGTGTGTGTCACTACATGCTCATTCATCTCAACTGAGTCACGCTGTCATCTGGCAGTCCAGAATGTAAGCAAGTTCCAACAAAAGAAATAAAAATGTCCTTATTCGATCCTAACGTCAAGTTGTGTGTTCCTCCTGCACATTACAGGCTGTACACAGAAAGGCAGTTATTTTCATAGATGATGTGAACACTCTGTCTTCAAAAAAAAAAAAAACAAACCTAAAGATGTCCTATTACACATGCATGGTCACTGTTAAGATACATATTTTCTTTTCTCATAGGAAAGAAGGCTGTCATGACTTAGAGTGATAGGGTATTAGGAAGAGAGAAATGGGGAACTGGTTGGTGCTCCAAGAAAATAAAAACTTGTCTGAATTTCCTAACTTTAGGAGCTCCTGGGTCTAATCTGTTGCTCTTTCAGTCCATTAGCTTAATTGAAAGGGGGAATCCCTCAAGAAGCTTGGAGAATGTTTGCCGCTGGGCTTATCAGCAGCAGAAGTCGGATCCAAATCACTCTGAGCACCACGATCATGCCATCTTCTTAACCAGGCAAGATTTTGGGCCTGCTGGTATGCAAGGTAATGCAGCTGACCTGGAGCTAAACTATCTGGACGTGATGTTTCTTGGCTGGCATCTGCCAAAAAAGAGGAAAATTTGAAAATTGCATTGTTATTTGATCCTGAGACAATAAGCAACATAGGCCTTTATTCAGCAAATACTTAAGGAAGTGTCCAGTTTTAAAGATGTATTGAAACCTGGGCCTGTTGAGGAAAGCATGTACACTCCTTCTAACTTTCAGTTCCCTATTCTGGCTTTAGAGAAGGCCCACGTGGACAGCCTGAGCATGTACCTATTGCTGTGCTGTGGAGAGAAAGTACTTCCTCCCGTTCATTTTACATGCTTTTCAAAAAGCAAGCAGACCTTGCCATGGTAGTCCTTGCCATTTATATCTAACTGTAGCAGATTTAAGTTTCTTACTTGAGAGATTAATAGCTATTTACTTACTTCAGACACCAGGGGGGGTCTGTGTGCGCGCGCACGCACAGGGATCACTAGGAACACTCAGTGCCCTTTGCATTCAACTTTTATTTTATTGCATCATTTACTGTAGATCTTGTTTTATATATAGCGTACCAGCTACTTTGATACTTGCGTTGATCTTCATGACTCAAGAAACTAATGATAATGGGAAATAAATTGACAAAGTGTGATTTATGGCAGTGCAGATAAAGAACAGTATGGGTGAGACCATGTTTTGGCTGTCCATCTGGAGATGTCTTAGAGATTTGTGTTCACTACTTCCATTCTCCCTTCACCTTTCAGGGGGAGACAAGGGTCTGAGTTCTCCTTCAGGTCTGGGCTGGAATGCCTGGAGTGAAACTGGTTAGGTTGAGATGTTAGACAGACTTCCCTGTCGTCAGAAAAATTTTAGCTTTTACTGAGGAAAAGACATGCAATGTGCCCCGGGTGGTATGTAGATGAAGGTACTAATATGAGCACATGCAAAAAATCCCAGCCTATAGCTCTACCTTTTAATTGAACAGCAATCTTGTGCTTTTTTGGTGATAGCAGTGGTAAATGTCTGAAGTAACACAGACGTCTGTAGAATCCATCCCAGTATGTCAGAGCCATTTACTCTGTTGGACAGCAATTGCAAAGACAGAGGAAAAACTGACAATCAAAAGAAAACAATCCTAGGTTCTTCTCAGGTAGCAAGTTTATTGGGCAGTCTCATTTAAAATAAATGTAATGGGTAAAAGAATGAGACATGATTTCTCTCCATAGGATATGCTCCTGTTACTGGCATGTGTCACCCAGTCCGAAGCTGTACTCTCAACCATGAGGATGGGTTTTCATCAGCTTTTGTTGTTGCTCATGAAACTGGTCATGTGTAAGTCTAACTTTTTACCAACAAAATACGGTGCTGCATCTCCTACTTGCTTCAAGTGGTTTAATTTTAATGTCTATATGAAAGCTATCCTAATTTTATTTTCATTCCCTTGGAATGCATCAGTGGTTTAAGCAATGAAGAGATAAGTGGGGGAAGAAAGGAAGGGGAAGAGAGAGGGGCAACTTGTTTTTTCTAGAATGAGGAAGAGATCAGTAAGTAACCTTAAAGGCCAGGGCAGTGGAGACAGTAGCTTGTCAAGCATCCTTAACATCTTTTTTCTTATTGACTGAAAGTGCTGGTTTGTTAGATTTGGCACCTGTTCAAGAATGATAAAATGTTAGGCTGGGAGTAACTGATTAAGCAAAGATCTCTGTTTGCTGTCTGGATGAATTAATGTCAGGCACTGCGGATCTGATTTTTGTCTTCCTTAAGTAGTGCAGGCTACTCTTTCAGCTCACTGGGAGGAATTTAGAGAGATGACCAGGTCACTTGCACATTAAGCTGTACCAAGTGCATGCTTGGAGATGTAATGTGCTAACCATGTTAGCTCTTTAGAGATGCAACATGATAACTGTGTTAGCTCTGTGTTTAAATAGGTGCTTTTGATAGATGAGTATACAAACATGAACAATTCAATGTCTGAATGAACTGCTCCCTAATGAGCAGAATTGTTTTTCTTTATCTGAAGCGTAAGAAGTCATCATCTAGTTAATTTATTCCTGGTATTAACAACTAAGATGAGGTATAAATGAAAGTGTATTCAGAGCGTCCTTATGTTTTGGCATCAAAGAAGATTAATTTAAAATGCAGGTTATACCTGTAGAATGCAAAGAACAATTTCATTTTGCATGATACATGGGCATGAGAAACTGTTTTCTTTACAGTTGTTTTACCAGTTGAAGAGCGGAAACTGCCTGGGCTCTGATGCCAGTTCTTTGTTACAGGCTGGGAATGGAGCACGATGGGCAAGGGAACAGATGTGGGGATGAGACAGCAATGGGGAGTGTTATGGCTCCCCTGGTGCAGGCTGCCTTTCATCGTTACCACTGGTCCAGATGCAGCGGCCAAGAACTCAAAAGATACATACAGTAAGGACCTGTCAGCACTCGGCGCTACTCGTTTTACCAAAGCAAAACGGCAGTCTTTGCACTTCCTGGGATGCAGGGCCAGCGTGCTGCCCTCTGCTAGACAGCAAAGAGAAGAGCAGAGGCAATCCCAGCGTGAAGGAGCAGGCACAAGTGTCATAAACTGGACCCTTGACTGTGGAAGCCCTTTTTATAAACACAGCGGTACTGGGGCCTCAGAGGTACTGAGGAATGGGATCCTCCGGGGCAGCTTGCCCTCTGCTTCCAGACAGGGATTCAGCCTTCTGAGGCATTCCAGTAGGCTGCTCTGTGCCTCAGTGCAACAGCAGTGAGACACTGCTGTCGCCACATCTGGCCTCCTCCTATGGAGCAGTTTTCTGATCACCTTTTTTGCCATACTCTTGTTCCCTTCAGATCTATATTGGAAAAGCTATAAATCAGGAACAATGCTTCCTCGCTTAGGGCTGCACTCAAAGCCCGTTTGCATCCCCTGGGGGAGCATAGGAGTCTCTCTGGCAGACTTTATGTCAGGTAGCTGGTGTTTTCCCTAGGTTTTTAATTTCTCTAGGAGTTATGCTGTGAAACTAGCAGAATGAAGCCCGAAACTCAGAAAAGGAACTAGCAAAGTTGTGGAAGAGAGAAGGCGGCATGCGTGCCTGACTTAGGGAGAAAAGGAGAACAGATCTCTACCCTGCTGGCTCTAGTCTCCCTCTGTGTATGTACCTATTCATCCAATTCTTCCTCAGGCTTCCTTCTCCATTGCAAATAGCTGGGTTTGCCGGTCAAAACTGAGTGAAAACTTCATGAGCTGACCCACATCTCCTGCAGAAGAAACCCTATTCATAACATAAAGCATAAAATAGTAATTGATTGGGACCTTAGAGCTTAAAGTGAAATATCCCAGTTCAGGAGAAGCTCACCAGTATCACTATTTTAAGATATCAGAGTTAAACAGGAATGAGAAAAAAACAAGCCTTATTCTTGCTGTTTGCATAGGCAGGCCTTCATCCCTGTGAATACAGTAGATGTCAGGTAAGAAGGCCTGTTCTCAGACTACTCTTCTGTTTCAAAGCACCTTAAAGTCACTGGAAAGACCCACTGTGACTACAACTGGCTTTGTGTTAGGCCTTATATTAGGAATCATACTCCAGGTCAAAGCACATTGAGATTTTGCCCTTTGGCACTGAGAGTGGAGGAGTGTTTGTTTTCTACATCTGGTGACAGGAAAGTAAAGTACAAATATCATATGTATGGCTAGGGCAGGGAAGGGCTGGAGATACCTCTCCACAGTTTCCAGCAAATGCAGGAACTTTGCTGTGGGATCTTCCCATCTAACGCTCAGTCATCTTGCACTAGGCAGTATTCCTACAGAAGGGACTGTCTGTGCTTTCAGAGCAATAACTATGTAAACAGGACAGAAAACAGGTTGGAGAAAAGGAGTATTACCTTTGCTAAGAATAAGTATTTTGATCTTGCCAATCCAAAAAAAATTACTACATCTCATGATTTTTTTTCTCTGTATCTTTCCACAGCTCTTATGACTGTCTTCTTGACGACCCTTTCGAACATGATTGGCCCAAGCTTCCTGAACTGCCAGGCATCAATTATTCCATGGACGAACAGTGCCGCTTTGATTTTGGCGTTGGCTATAAAATGTGCACAGCGGTATGTCCAAGGCAGTCATTGCAAAGACAAACGTTCTTTCAGCAAGTTGGTGTCTGGCGTTATTTAAGAGCTGCAATATACATGTTTCCTCATAGTTGAAGAGCAGTTAAACAGATCTATAAGGAGGAGGGAGATATTTATGGGTGAAATGCAGTCATCTGGGTCATTTGGTTAAACGGTCAAGTGGATGGCAGCATGGTCCACATGACACAGACTTGTGGTAGTGATCCCAAAGAAGAAGGGGAAAAACCCCTCATTTTCCTTCCACTTCTGGGTGTCTCCTCCTTTCCTCTTCTTACCAGCACGGAACTAGAGGGTGCAGGGAATAAGCACTGCCCTTTTCTTTCTGAAGATAATGTACTTACTGGTAGCTGTGTTTCAGATTAATTGACTAGGTGAGTTGAATCCTTATCTGAAAAGTATTAATAATCTAATGTTGAGTTTCATCTCATAAACGTTCTCCATTTCAGTTCCGAACCTTTGACCCATGCAAGCAGTTGTGGTGTAGCCATCCAGATAACCCATATTTCTGTAAGACTAAGAAAGGACCTCCACTCGATGGGACAGAATGTGCCCCTGGAAAAGTAAGTATTGTGTTTTAGCTATGTTTGTATTAAAAAAAAACCCAGCAGTTGCATTCATTTTGGTTGAAGGGTGCGCAGGAAAACTGGGAATTGCCCAGTATCCCCTGGGTGGAGCCAGAGGAAGGGAAAAGAGGGAGCTGTGCTTTCCCACTGTGATATTCTGTGAAATGTACAAGGTTTGCAATAGTACGAAGTAAATTCTGGACAAGAAAACCACAGTTGAGCTGTAACCCATTCTCACCCTCCTCTGTGGCCTTTTTGTTATGCTTTTTGGATTCTTTTCTCATCTGCTAAGTGTCCATAAAGTGTCTTTAGGGATCCATGGTAGCAGATAATGCCATTCCTGTAGGACCACTTCTTAGTGCTCGTGGTCCAGACATCCTGTGGCTAAATGTTTGTGCAGGCTTAGGATTAGCTCTTTATTTTTCCCTTTTAATATCCCCATTAGTGGGTGTCCTGCTGGTAATTCATTTTTAATTATAAAATTATACTCAAATGAATGTTTGTTTAGCAAATTCCATGTATTTTGAGATACAGTAGAGCCACTTACACCGAGTATGCCCTAACCAGCAGCAAAACAACACCCTGGCCAGTGACTATCCCTTCAGCCTGTTTGCATAAGTGTGATATTTGGCCAGTATGAAGAAAAAAAGAAAAACGCAACTAATCCTCAGCAAAAAATTTATCTTGCTAATATTCAGAACATTCAAATTCCTTTAGAAAGGTGTTAGCCACTGAGACTCAAATGAAACAAAGACTTACATAGGTTAAGTGAAGAGGAGGGTGGAACGTGTTGAGCTCCACGTGACTGCCCATGGAAGGGTTCGGGCTCCGGTTCAGC